CCACACACACCACCACAACCCACCACACCACACACACCACCACACATAACCACCACAACCACCACACCACCCCACCACCACCACCCCACCACAACCACCACACCACCACAACCACACCCCAACACCACCACCCCCACCACACCACCACACCACACCCACCACACCACCACACCACACCACCAACCACCACACCACCACAACCCCACCACACCACCAACACCAAAACACCACACCACACAACACACCACACCACCAACACCACACCACAGAACCACACCAACCACACCCACACCACACCAGCACCACACCCCCCACACCACCAACAACGCACCCACCACCACATCCACCACACACCACAACCACCACACCCCACACCACCACAACCACCACACCCACCACACCACCCACCACCACACCACCACACCACCACACCACCACACCACCACACCACCACCAGACCACCACCACACCACCACCACACCAACCCCACACCTCCACCACACCACCACCACCACCACACCACTACCCAGCACGCACCACACGTCACCGCACACCGCCACACGCCACCCTACACCCCAAACTCTAAACACGAAACCCTATAAACCCTATAAACCCTAAGCCCACGTTCAAAGCCCTATTTTGCAGATTCGGGAGTATGGCACCATGCCATATAGCATCCTCACAGTCATCGAGATGATGCGCGGCAAGTCCAACTACCCCTCGATTATCTCGGCGAACCACGAGTTTGGCGATGCCTACTTCCTTTTCTTCCACTTCTTCTTTCTGATCCTGGGTTGCGATTTCTAGGGGGTAAAGCCTTATTCCCTAGGTTCCCTTATCAGCCCCAGGGTATACCTTGTTTTTTCCGAGGTTATTCTTGGCTAGATTACGGAACTCAAGTTCAGCTGCAAGAATATGGAACCGCTAACTCAAGACAGTATGGTTGCTTCAGCATGGTGACTTTACATGTCTACAAATTGCTCAAGAACCCCCTATACAATATGTGAATAGTCTTCCTTTTTAAGGGTATTATGGGGATGATTTTTTCCCATTATTTTGGGGTTCTTAAGCAGATAGTAGAGGTATGTACCTTTTTTCTGGCCCTAGATAGGACCTCGGGTTTTCTTGTATTCCCCAACCTCGATCCAAAGGCTCTTGTTTTGAGACATGCCCCCTCAACGCTAAACCCTCGACCCTAAACCTTAAACCCTAAGCCCTAAACCCTAAACCCTAAACCCTAAACGCTTAAAGTGCCGAGCCTAAGGATCTTCCAGCAGTTCTTGCTCGCCATCTTGGTCATTGGGTACATGAAGGTGCCCGGGGAACTGCGGTCTATGCTTAATCCTAAACCCTAAACCCTAAACCCCAAACCCTAAACCCTCAACCCTCAACCCTAGCCTGCTAGGACGCCCAGGGTTTAGGGCAAGCCTACAGGCTCCTAATGTAGCACTTCTTTGGCGTAGCAGACTATAACCCCCTGGAACTCAGCAAGAAATGGAACTACGTTGGAACCTCCAGGAAGGGTTCACAGGGTTTAGGGTTCACAGGGTTTAGGGTTTAGGGTTTAGGGTTTAGGGTTTAGGGTTTAGGGTTTAGGGTTTAGGGTTTAGGGTTTAGGGTTTAGGGTTTAGGGTTTAGGGTGCGGGAGTAGCACCCTTACCGCTTTCTTTGCGGTTTAGGATCCCTTACAAGCCTAACTAAACCAGACCTTCGCGCAATTGTCTCCTGGGAAACCTAGCCCTCAACCCTAAACCCTAAACCCTAAACCCTAAACCCTAAACCCTAAACCCTAAACCCTAAACCCTAAACCCTCTTCCCCAAACCTCTGCCATGAGGTGCGAAAGCGGCAGGCTGACTCCGAGCAGGTGGAGACGCCCTTGCGGCGCATCTTCCGATCTGTCTTTTGGCTGCCCAGCCAGCCTTCGTTAGGGGTTTAGGGTTTAGGGTTTGGGGTTTAAGGTTTAGGCTTCAAGGTTTAGGGTTTAGGGTTTAGGGTTTAGGGTTTAGGGTTTAGGGTTTAGGTTTTAGGGTTTAGGGTTTAGGGTTTAGGGTTTAGGGTTTAGGGTCGCTTTAGGGCTTCTAGGGTGTCTGGGGTTTCTAGGGTTCTGAATCAGGGTAGTTGCATGGTCCCGCAGCATGGGCCCCGAAAAGAGGACCTCTTAGACTTAGCAGCTGAACGAGTACAGTCACTTTGCGTTTTGTGGGATACTATTATCCCCTATAGAACCGGCAGTGTACACTTTTGGGCGGGGCTTATGAACTCAGCAACTACGCATATGCCCCTTGTATGCATACATCAGAACCCTTTGCCGAAGGTAGGGCTTCTACTTGGATGTTCATGGCTAGTTGTTATATATTCTCGGTAACTATGGTGAAAACCTCATTTAGGGCACTTATATAACCCCACTTGGCTGTAGCGCTTCTACAGGGTGTCCGGGGTTTCTAGGGTGGGCTGGAGGGGTTTAACGTTAAGGGTTCAGGGTTTGCAGGGTTTAGGGTTCAGGGTTTAAATGTTTAGGCGGTTTAGGCAATTTCGTGTTTCGCATTGCTGTTTTGGGGCCTACTTGTACAGACCTTCACTGTGTATACCTTGAAGGCAATTGCTGCAGTTTGTTGGGTTGCTTACTTTTCCAGGGTACATACTTATTTATGTACATATATACGCTACTCTATAGTCCTTAGTAGCTGAATGAATACACTTTACACTTTTTGGGATACCATAATCCAATACAGAACTGAACGTGTACAGTTTTTGTGGGCTTCTGAACTCAGCAACTAAGTGTATACCCGTTGTGTACATACATCAGAACCCTTTGCTGAAGGTAGATCTTCTACTTGGATGTTCAGGTAGTTTCACCTTTCTTGAAGTGAAACTGTAGGAGCCGAACAAGTACGCTTTGCACTTTTTGGGATACTAGAATCCCCTATAGAAACCCTGAACCCTAAACCCTAAACTTCAGTTTCACCTTTCTTGAGGTGAAGAGCGCCCTGCTTCACCTCAGTGCCAACATCCGCAGTCGGCTCATCTCGTTGCAGCAGATCTTCTTCGGCACGCAGGCAACCGCCAAGACCGTGGACTACGAGCAGGCGTGACACAGGGTCAGGGTTTAGGGCGACTGTGAGCCCTGAACCCAGCCCCCAAGCCCATGAACCTTGCACCCGCCAGTGCCCAGGTTTATTAAACAGGGTTTAGGCTTCAGAGGAAAGAGCTCTGAAACCTGGAAGTTAATCTCATAACCCCGAATTCTAAACTTAACACCCCCCTACAACCTAAACCCTAAACCCTAAGCCTTTTTTCCCCTTGAAGGTGGCGCGGCTTCGCGACAAGCGTGCAACGAAGCCGAAGATCCGCAACGTCCTCTATGAGAAGAGGCCCGGGAACGACGATGCTCGGTGCATTTGTGGATTTTGGGTTTAGGGTTTAGGGTTTAGGGTTTAGGATTTAGGGTTTAGGGTTTAGGGTTAAGGCCTTCAGGGCCTGTAGGGCCTTTAGGGCCTTTAGGGGCCTTTAGAGCCCTCAGAGCCTCAGGGCCTTTAGGGCCTTTAGGGTCTTGGGGTAAACCCCTAAACCCTAAACCCCTAAACCCCTAAACCCTTCTTAAACCCTAAGCCCTGAACCCCTAAACCCCTGAACCCTGCGAGATTTATCCGTAAACCCTAAACCTTAAACCCTAAACCCTAAACCGTAAACCCTAAACCCTAAACCTTAAACCCTGAACCCAGGATGAGAGCGTGGACATTTCCAAAGATGCCCGCCTGCACGGAGTGACTAGCACCAGCACTCCTGGAGTTGTGTTTGGGGTGCTGTTTAGGGGTTAGGGTTTAGCGTTTTAGGGTTTAGGGGTTAGGAGTTTTAGGGGTTGGGAGTTTTTGGGGGTTTAGGGTTTTTAGGGTTTAGGGTTTTAGGGTTTTAGGTTTTTAGGTTTTCAGGGTTTTAGGGTTTTAGGGTTGCATCAGGGCTTGGGGGTTGGAACGAAGGCCCCAAACTTACACACCCTACTTCTATCTTCCAAAGCAGCTCAATTGAGGTAGGAATCACATTGTAAGGTCAGTTTTTTTAATGACTTAAGCACACCCTGGCTGCATTGTCTTGAGCGCCCGGTCTACATCATCAAGGGAAGCATGCCATTCATCCTCTTCTTTCTTTATTCTTTTTTCAGCCTTTCAACTCTATGTAAGGTTGCTACAAAGACCTTCCATACCCTATACACCCTCAGCCTTTAAACCCAAGATTCGCTACGCAAAGCCCCCAGCCCGATGCCGGGCTTAGGGTTTAGGGTTTAAAGGGTTTGGGGTTTAGGGTTTAGGGTTGAGGGTTTGAGCCACTACAAAGAAGGCTTTGGGGCTCAGGCTTGGGGTTTAGGTGGGGAGGTGGGCGGGTGCGAGGGGGCCCCAAAACAGCTCTCTACCCCGGTTAAGGGTTTAGGGTTTAGGGTTTAGAGTTGTAAGTGAAAAGACTTGTGGGTGGACCCGCCTAAGCCCTCAACCCCAAAGACCTTTGGGGCCCTAAAATAATAAACCCAATGCCCTGGGGCTTTGGGGCTTCGGGGCTTTGGGGCTTCTAGAGGGTTTGCTTGTTTTTTTTTTTGAGGGGGGGGGGGGGGAGCTTGGGGGTTCTCTGTATTTAGGGTTCAGGGTCTGAGGTTTAGGGTTTCACTACCTGTAGGGGTTTAGGATGCAGGGTTTGGGGCATGTAGAGTTTCCAGTGGTGTTTAGTTAGGCTTTCGGGTTTCGGGTGTATGCTTGGCTTAGTGCGGACAGGATGCCGTTTAGGATTTAGGGGTTGAGGTTTGAGGGTTTAGGGTTTAGGGTTTAGGGTTTAGGGTTTAGGGTTTAGGGTTTAGGGTTTAGGGTTTAGGGTTTAGGGTTTGAGGGTTTAGGGTTTCGGGGGTTTCATAGCGCTCGGTGTTTAAAATCTCTTTCGCGTTGAGGGTTTGGCATCGTTTGGGCCTGTGGGTTTGGATCCTGAACCCTATAAACCCTCAACCCTGAACCCTAGACCCTAAACCCGAAACCCTAAACCCTAAACCCGCCAGGTTGGGGTTTGTAGGTTTTATTTGGGGTTAGGATGTCAAGAGTCTGCTGGAAGCTATGCCTTAAAGCTAGAACATGACAAAACCCAGACTTGAAATAACTCCTGCATTGGGGGGGGGTTCACGGTTTAGGCCCACACTTTAGGGTTTAGTGTAGGGTTCAGGGCTTAGGGTTGGGGTTTAGGGTTTGGGTAGGGTTTAGGGTTTAGGGTTTAGGGTTTAGGGTTTAGGGTTTAGGGTTTTGGGTTTAGGGTTTAGGGTTTAGGGTTTAGGGTTTAGGGTTTAGGGTTTAGGGTTTAGGGTTTAGGGTTCAGCGGCTCAGGAGATCAGACTTCGAGCTGTGGAGCCCTTCTACCCGGATGGAATGATGCACTACTACGTGGATGAGGTGGAGCCGGAATCTGTGGCAGCCGTGCGGCAGGGGTTTAGGGTTTAGGGTTTAGGGTTTAGGGTTTAGGGTTTCTTGCCAGGTGGGGCTTTCAGGGCTGTAATGCCTAGAACGGGCTTAAACCCTTAAGGCCGAGACCCTAAACCCGTAAACCCGTAAACCCATAAACCCTTAAACCCGTAAAGCCGTAACCCGAAGCCCGAAACCCCGAAACCCCGAAACCCCGAAACCCTAAACCCTAATGACGGGGTCAGCCCGAACATTTGATCGCCAACCCAGGTGTTTTGTAGCACTCGGCCCTAACTTAGGCACTAGACCGCAAGGCAATTAAAGTAGTCCCCTTTGCTAGTGGTTGATGAATATTTCCCAAGCGGGTTTAGGTTTCGGGTCCCGTGTCTCTCCGGGGCTTAGGGTTTAGGGTTTTGGGTTTCCGGGGCCTTCAAGCACCCTTGGCTTCGGATGTTTCCTCCATTTCATTAGCAGTGGGAATCTGCAATAACCTCTGGTTCTTAGCAGGGAACGCGGGAATTACGGCCCTATAGATACCCTGTAAGGGATTATCGAGGGTACCTCATTCCCTCCAAGAACCGGCCACTAATCAGGATTTGTGGGAGCCCTCTCTGATTGCCAGACCCCCTACAAGGAGGAAGTGCCTCAACCTAAACCCAAAACCCTAAGCCCTAAGCCCAAACCCTTAACCCTAATCAACCCTAAACCCTAAACCCTAAACCCCCGAAACCAAACCTGAGGCACATGACTACAAAGTTCAGGGCTTTCGCCTCGTCGGCATCTTTTCGAAGGGCAGCTACGACAAGGAGAAGTTCCGCAGCGTGCAGGACTGGTCGGGTTTGGGGTGTAGGGTTTAGGGTTTAGGGTTTAGGGTTTAGGGCTTAGGGTTTAGGGTTTAGGGGTTTAGGGTTTAGGGTTTAGGGTTTAGGGTTTAGGGGTTTAGGGTTTAGGGTTTAGGGATTAGGGTCTAGGGTTTAGGGTTTAGGAGAGTGTGCAGCTGAGGGTCATGAATCCTAGAGAAAAGATTCGAAAGATTGTAAAAGGTCCAAGGTTGAGAGCTGTCGATGCAGGGCTCAGGGTTCATAATGCCTCCCTAAACCCTAAACCCTAAACCCTAAACCCTAAACCCTAAACCCTAAACTCTAAACCCTAAACCCTAAACCCTAAACCCTAAACCCTAAACCCTAAACCCTAAACCCAAAACCCTAAACCCTAAACCCTCAACCCTCAACCCTCAACCCTCCCCCCCCCCCTCCCCCCCAAAAAAAATAAATAACCAAAAACTCGGCAGGACTTCGAGCAGAAGTACTCGAAGGATCCTCAGCAGATCCTCTCCAGCATCAGCAAGGCAGACAGTCTACCAGTGCCTAGGTTGCGTTGGTAGCCCAGTGGTATCATGGGGTTTAGGGTTTAGGGTTTAGGGTTGCAGGGTGTTGACCCCCTTGTAATTAATAAGGACCCCAAGAAGCTGCCCCTCATATCGTAGACCCCCATAACAGTCTGTGAAGAAGGCCTTTAGAGCTTAGTCTTGGCAGCCCAGTGGTACATTTTTCCCTTTTTTTGGGTTCAAGGGCCGCTTATAAAGTAACCAGCCCAAAAATTAGGTTCCCTTATTATGATATGGTTACTGGCTGCCAAGTTGCTGTCATGGAGCCGAAGCCCACGAACTGGGCAGCTTCCCAGAACCCTTCTCCCCCAAAATCGCATAGTACTTGTTATAGCTATAGGTACTCCTCGAAAGGGGTCGCCCTAATTGTTGAACCTCCCCCGTATGTACTAAGGAGAACGTAGTTCTAAGCTTATTTTCCAGCTTCCAGGCCGTAAGACCTGAACTCTCACCACCCCCTAAACCCTGAACCCTAAACCCTAAACCCTAAACCCTAAACCCTAAACCCTAAACCCAGGATAAGGGCGCAAGAGTACCTTGATGGCCTTAATGGCGGGGGGTATCTACAAGGTATCGCAAGAGCGTACTTGCGGGGCCTGTGAAAAATGTCCCTAAATTTGCACTCTCAGCCCGACAATTCAAACCGAGAACCAGGTGAGACTCGAATTTCAGGGCAAAGTGCAGCCCTTCTCCTGCGAGTGCCTGACCATGGCATTCTTGGTCACCATCTTCCTCATATTCGTACTTCAGGCGCCTCTGGCTTTAGGGTTTACGGTTTAGGGTGTTGGGTTTGTGGTTTAGGGGAGGTTCAGGGTTTAGGGTTTCTGCGAAGTTCTTGGCCCCCTTGCCGTAGTTTGCTTACGTGAGTTTGGTTATAAGGGGGAGGAAAGGACCCTACAAAACATACATCAAAGGAACCCTAAACCTTTAAACCCTGAACGCTGAACCCTACACAATAAACCCTAAACCCTAAACCCTAAACCCTAAACCCTAAACCCTGGAGCCCAGGTCGCACGTGTACAGGACTCCTACAGTCTGACTGAGATCCATCGCGCTGAGCTCATGGGCAGGGACGCTTTCCTTGGTAGCCCAGTGGTACACTTTTGCCCGTTTCGGGTTTAGGGTTTAGGGTTTAGGGTTTAGGGCTCAAGACCCCGAAGAAAGTCCACAAACAGTAGGAGTTCCTTCTGAATAAGGATCCCAATAAGGTACCCCTAGTTTCGGAAAACACCTATCTGAAGTGTGGGCTCTTGGGTTTTATGGGGTCTATACGGTATATAAGTGATCCGCATTTAAGGAGCCATCAGCGGACCATGTAACAACGCTTAGATTTTTGCCTTGTTTGTTTTAAGATCAAGGTTCTCTTATGAGGCAACCAACATGAAACAGGGAACCCTTATTGTTGTATGGTCACTGGGCTACCAATTCACCATTTGGTTTTAGGGTTTAGAGGTGAGAGTCTGGGGTTTTAGGGCTTTTGGGCCTATTTGTAAGCTAGATCCCTGAGTGCTTGCTAAGTATACACACCAAACCCCAAACCTCAAACCCCAAACCCTGAACCCTAAACCCAAAACCCTAAACCCTAAACCCCCCTCAAACCCTAGCAAGGAATGGTACGAGTACCATCCGACCCGGATCATGGACTTCCGCAACATCTCTCTGAACCCCTCGAACCTTGGGGTGCAATGGGATTTAGGGTTTAGGGTTTAGGGTTTAGGGTTTAGGGTTTAGGGTTTAGGGTTTAGGGTTTAGGGTTTAGGGTTTAGGGTTTAGGGTTAGGGTGATCAGGGCTTGGGGTTACGATGACTGGGGCTTGCGGTTTGGAGTTTAGGGTGGGTAGGGTTTGGGGCAAGGTGCAAAATGCAAGTCAATCTTCATGTGGGACAGCTCTCAGGAGACTTAAGGTTGCCTTGTCAAGGGTACCCTAAATCGACAGCCCGGTTTTTTTGAGTTTAGGGTTTAGGGTTTAGGGTTTAGGGTTTAGGGTTTAGGGTTTAGGGTTTAGGGTTTAGGGTTTAGGGTTTAGGGTTTAGGGTTTGGGGAATTCTGCCTGCTTTTATAATCAGCCAACGAAACAAAATCACAAGGAGCTACAAGCAGTGGATGCGGGAGGCAATTTACGAAGGCGAGATGAGCTGCGTGGGGCTTCTCGACCAGAATGCGCAAACATGCATTCCTGCTCATGGCTCCGACGGCGATCCTTTCGTGCGCGAGAACTGGCAGCTCTATGTCCAAAGCGGATCGTCACTGGGCCATTGTTGAAAATCACTCTACATGTTTATAATTATGTCACTCTACATGTTTATAATTATGAATACTTAAACCCAGCAAGGAAAAACCCTAAACCCTAAACCCAACAATGATCATCTTCTAACAGTCCCCCCCCCCCCCCCACAACGGCGCAGGCCAGAAGAAGCTCTGAAGTTGACCCAACAAGGAAAAAAAGCCTTAAACCCTAAACCCTCCAAAAAAATCATCTTTTACCAGTACCCCCCCCAACATGGTGCAGGCCAGAAGAAGCTCTGAAGTTGAGTTCTAGGCCGGAGACTGCGGACCTGGGTTTGGGGTTTAGGGTTTAGGGTTTAGGGTTTAGGGTTTTAGGGTTTTAGGGTTTTAGGGTTTAGGGCTCAGGGTTAAGCTCCAGGCCGGAGACTGCGGACCTGGACATGTCCGTGTCCGGCTTCGCCCCCGCGGCAGCAGAAGGCATGACGGTCGGCTTCTCGAGAGCAGAACCCTAAAACCCCAAAACCCCAAACCCCAAACCCCAAACCCCAAACCCTAAACCCTAAACCCTAAACCCTAAACCCTACACCCCAATCAAGGACCCCTACTTTTTTGGCTTAGGGGCCTTATCCTAGGGTTGCGGATTTAGAGTTGTGGGTGTAAGGTTTAAGGTGTAGGGTTGGTAGGCCCTTGGGATGTTTCATATTTTCCCTTATTGGGTTGACGAGGATTCTTCTTTCGGAACATTTGTTCAAAGGGTTTTGGGTTTAGGGTTTTGGGTTTAGGGTTCAGGGTTTAGGGTTTAGGGTGGCCTCCATCCTAGGCTTTGTGCCGAAGGGTGATGTGCCCGTGACGACAGCGATCCGCTTCCGAACCTGGAATGTGGGCGTGATGCCCAACAACCATGCGCGGGTCGTCTTGCAGATTCCATGCCACTTAACTGCCATCTTGAAGCATGTTGTGTGCTTCGGGTCTGAAATCCCCCCAAAAAACGCTAAGTTGGATGTCCTCACCTTCCGCAGAACCGAGGCCATGTTCCCGTTACCAACGAACGTTTCAGCGCCGATTATCCGTATCGGCTGAGCTCTCTCTTCCGTGGGTGCGCGACAAAGGACTGCATGGGAGAGCTGCTCAAGGAGCAGCAGACCTGCTACTCCTTTGACGGCGCGCAGCATCCTGCTGCTAACGTCACTGGTGCGTCTACCGGCATCTTGGTAGCTGAATGAGTATCCTTTTACACTTTTTGGGATACGATGATGCCCTATGGAACTGGAAGTGTGCTCAGTTTTTGCGGGCTTCTGAACTCAGCAACTAAGGCATCGTGTATACCTACACGACGCAAGCGGGAGCTCAGGGTGTGGTCTTGGGATTCTAGGCTGTTGAGTAGTATTTTTGTTTTTACTTTTTGGGTTTCTGGGTTCCCTACATTAGGTAAGTAGCCCCGAAACCCGAAACCCCAAACCCTAAACCCATGAAAAGCTGAGGATTGGGTGGGACGCCGGCAGAGGCTGAAACCGTGATGGACTTGCTCCTGCAGGATCACATCCACCCAATCAGCATGTGCCTTTGCCGCAAGGGACACCCTAAACCCTAAATACACCCTGGACTTGTGAAGGATTCTGGGTCATCGTCCTGCGGGGACGACCAGGTGGATGTAAGGCTTGCTGTCCTTAGAACTGACCGCATACCCCCGGAAAAAAGGCGGAAAAAAAAACAAAAAAAACATGGAAGGTCTCAATAGTCAACATCCCCCAGGGGCATACCTTGGCAGGAAACACCCTAAACCCTAATCCCGAACAGCTGGTAGTCCCTCCCCCATATTGGGTTTGTGTTTTTTGGGGGCTCAGGTTTAAGAATGGCACACGGGTTGCACACCCGCGAAACATACCCCGTAACATACCCCGAAACATACCCCCGAAAAATACCCCCGAAATTGCAGGTAAAGTAGCTCCTGATGCCGCGAAACATACCCGAAACATACCCGCGAAACACACCCCGACCCCAACACGTGTCACGCGCCTCCCCATTAACATACAAACCCAAATTGTCCCTTTACCGAGGCACGTGAAGGTTCTGGGTTCGATACTTAAGAGCCCTAGACCCTAAACCCTAAACGCTAAACCCTAAAGCCTACTCCGACACCGGAGGAGAGACGGTTCAGGCGGTTTAGGGTTCAGCGCTGATACGGGGGGGATATTATTAGGGTTTAGGGTTTGGCGGGTTTTCTGTAGGGAGGGTCCATGAAGCACTGTTTGAAGAAAAGTTGAAGGCATGTGTCGGCCCCCCCCAGAGCTTTTAGCAGTCTGTGGGGGGGGGTCTTTAAGAGTCCCAGAATGGTCCGTCACAGGTCGGGCATTGATTGCAGTCGGGATTAACCACAGGGCAGTCTTTTCAAGAGGGTTTAGGGTTTAGGGTTTAGGGTTTAGGGTTTAGGGTTTAGGGTTTAGAGCCTCTGGCTGATCCCCACCCCCCTACACTCCCGCAGAGAAAAGGGTTAGGGTTTAGGGTTTTTTGGGCTCGTTTCAACCTTGAGGCTTTTAGAGGTCCGACGGTTTAGGGTTTAGGGTTTAGGGTTTAGGGTTTAGGGTTTAGGGTTTAGGGTTTAGGGTTTAGGGTTTAGGGTTTAGGGTTTAGGGTTTAGGGTTTAGGGTTTAGGGTTCTCTAAAGTGAGTTTTTTTTGCCCGACCCCTCAGAAATACCCCCTTGGCAAACATCCCGAAACCAACCTTCTTGGGTCCGTCCAAAAAGGGCTTCGGTCATTTAGGAGGTCCCACCCAAAACCCTAAACCCAAAACCCTAAACCCTAAACCCTAAACCCTAAACCAGGCAGCTTTCAGAGGGCTGCCAGCGGCACAACCCTCGGAAATCTGGACCCTCAACCCTGGACCCTAACCTGGGTTGGGGAGTACTATACTTGGATACATTTTTTGGTTCTGGGTTCCTATTATAGCTTTTTATATCTAAAAAGCATATGTACATTTTTCCATTTTTCCAGGGTCCACTCCAAAGTAGGGTAGCCAGCAACCCGAAGCTCAGAAACTGTCAGGACCGTTCAGTTTGTCACCTACAACGGCAACATGGACATGTTCACGCACAGTACAGTCGCCTTCGAGCTAGAGCCCACGGGCGTTCTCAGCAAGAATGTGCATACCGTCGTCTACCCTTTGCCGCTCGGGCTGGTCAAGGAGGGTCAAGGGGGGGTTGATGGTTGAGGGTTTAGGGGTCAGGGTTGAAGGTTGAGGGTTTAGGGTTTAGGGTTGAGGGTTTATTGGTCAGGGTTTAAGGTTCAGGCTTTGCTATGGTTGTGCTGGCGTCGGAGACTTTTTCGGAGCTGTTTTGACAAACCCCTCCCCTTCCTAGGAAAGCTAGAGAGGCCACTTGTAGGAGAGGAAAAAACAACCCTAAGCCCTAAACCCCCCCCGAAGCCAGCAAACCCCAAGTTAGTCTGCAGTGTGCATTCGGGTTTAGGCTTTCGGGTTCAAGAACCTAAGCCCATACAGCCATAGACAAACACTCAATTAGTTTTCTGGGAGCCTTCAGACCTCAACGCTTACACTTAAACCCTAAGCCCTAAACCCTAAACCCTAAACCCTAAACCTTAGGGCATGTGGTTGAACGTTCCGCGTCCTTCAAGAAGAAGCCCCACTCCCGTAACATGCTTTCAGTCCCCTTCCCCCCTACATCTACATAGAAAAGGTTTAGGTTTAGGGTTTAGGCTTTAGGCTTTAGGCTTTAGGCTTTAGGCTTTAGGCTTTAGGCTTTAGGCTTTAGGCTTTAGGGTTCGTTTGTATGTATATATATATATATTTATAGAAGAGACCCCCTGGACCCAAGTTACCTTGTTTTCGGGGCTACCAGGAAATGGAGGTCAAAAAGGGCAAAGCTCTGGTAAGGGTTTAGGGCCTAAGGGTTTAAGGTTTAGGGTATACGGCTTAGTGTGTAGCATTGCAAGGCCAGCCACACACCTAAAGGGGGTACAGTCGTTTGCGACATGGGTTAAATCCGAGGCCAAAGCCCTAAACTACCCTAAACTTTTCAACCCTGAGCCCTGCACCCTTAAGCATGTCAGGAATATCTTCACCATGGGGCTTACCGACTTTGCGGAACAGCGCAAGTCTACCAACCGTGCGCTGCCGCTTCGGCGTTCTAAGTCTAGGGTTTAGGGTTTAGTGTTTCGGGTTTAGGGTTTAGGGTTTAGGGTTTAGGGTTTCGGGTTTAGGGTTTAGGGTTAGGGTTCAGGGTTTAGGGGTTTAGGGTTTAGGGTTTAGGGTTTAGGGTTTCGTTCATGCATAGTTGTGATCGAGATTCGTGGTTCCTTTTGGCACCGTTCTGGGGTTAACAGCTCAATGCTTTCTAAACCCTAAGCCCGAAACCAGTTCCATTTCAGGTCAAGGCAGCATCTCAGAGGACCCTTTTCGGGCTTCACCCCGAACCTGCTATTCGCTTAAGAAACCACCCAAAAACTCAAACATTGGTCCTTACAAGGCCAATATAGGGATGACAATTACTTGTTGATTTTTCTTGGGTTCGTAGGCAATTGTAGTCCGAAACCCAGGATTTCCTTTCACAGCCTCTAGTGTGTCCCAAGTCGCATGAAGATCGTCAGGAATCCCAAGGGCTCTTAACTCAAAAGCCTTGTTGCAAACCCTAAACTGTAAACCAAAAACCCTGGACCCCTACATCGCAGCTTGGGGGACCCTCCTACACCGACCCTATAAACCCCAAACCCCAAAACGGACCCCTGACTTGGGGTTAGCCCTAAGCCCGAAGCCCAAAGCCCTAAGCCCTAAGCCCCCCTTTCTAAAACGGACCCCTGACTTGGGGTTGACCCTAAGCCCGAAGCCCTAAGCCCCCCTTTCTGCTTAGGGCTTACGGTTTAGGGCCCCCCCCCCCCCCCCTCCCCCTCAGTTTCGAGCTAAGGGCATAGGATTTAGGGGATTAAAGGCTAGACAAGACTAAAGGACTGTCGCAGACCCGACACCCTGAGGACTCCCCTAGACCCCAAACCCCAAACCCCAAACCCCAAACCCTAAACCCTAAGCCCTAAGCCCTAAACCCTAAACCCTAAACCCTAAACCCTAAACCCTAAACCCTAAACCCTAAACCCTAAACCCTACCCACCTTGAGGTTCATCACCTACGTGGTGGCCGCATGTCTCTTCTTGACTCTGGTGCTCCGGGACCTGCTGATCCAGCTACTTCTTGGTAGCCCAGTGGTGCCCTTTTCCCTTTTTTGGGGGGTGTAGGGTTTAGGGTTTAGGGTTTAGGCTTTCGGGTTTAGGGTTTAGGGTTTAACCTGAACTATTTTTTGGTTTTGGGAGAAGTAAGGCTACAGCTCACCTCCCTGGAAAAGCCATGGCTGCTGGGATCTTGTTGTAAGGATGTAGGGTTCTCAGGGCTTCGGGTTTAAGGTTTAAGGTTTAAGGTTTAAGGTTTAGGGTTTAGGGTTTAGGGTTTAGGGTTTAGGGGCGTTAAAGGTTTAGGGTTCCGAGGCGCGAGGTTCAGGGATTCGGGGGTGCTGAGAGGCTGAAGTGTAGACCTTCCTGCGGTAGTAGTTGCCGACGGGATTTGAAAAGAGTCTTTGGAGCCCCAAAGGTTTAGGGTTCAGGGTTTAGTTTTAAGGGTTCAGGGTTCAGGGTTCAGGGTTCAGGGTTCAGGGTTCAGGGTTCAGGGTTCAGGGTTTAGGGTTTAGGGTTTAGAGCAAGGGCCACGACAAGTGTAAGGAAGGCAAGTCAGAAGGGTTGAAGTGCAGGCAGAGGGAGGGTTAGCAAATGGCCACTTCTCGAAAACATGGGTTTGGGTTTAGGGTTTAGGGTTTAGGGTCTAGGGTTTCGGGTTTAGGGTTTAGGGTTTAGGGCCATTTGGGGTCCTTGTTACCAGGTGGCCCCTTTTATGTAGTGTACACAAAACGGACCAACATGTTGAGAACTGACCAAATTGGTTGTTTTCCTTATGGGGCTCGGTAGTTAGCCTTTAAAGTTTTTGGATATATAGGACGGTTTAGGGTTTTGGGTTTAGGGTTAAAAGGTTACAAGGTTAACGTTGTTTTGGGTTAGGGTATTCAGCCCCTAAGCTTCTCTAATTTAGGGTCCCGGAGTCCTTTATGGAATAGGGCACCCTTTCAATGACCCTGAACCCTAAACCCTAAACCCTAAACCCTAAACTTGGCCCGAAACCCTAAACCCTATTCTGCTTCTGACTCCTGCCTCTCAGAACTCTACCATTCACCCCAGACCTGATTGTTCACAAGGGGCTCTTTACTGTTTGGCAATCCCTGTATTGCGCTGATAAGGTTTTAGTGTTTAGGGTTTAGGGGTTAGGGGTTATAAGGAAGAATACGTGTTCTTTTTGTTGGGGGGGAGGGGGGTGGGGGGTTCTAAGCAAATAGTATTTATCGGAGTTAAAGGATGTACAAAGTTCATGGGCCTGCAACAGCTTTGGGCTTGTTGGGTTTAAGGTTTAGGGGTCAGGACTTATAATAATTATAGGGTGCTTAAGGGGGGGGGGGGGGTTCAAGGGGGGTATGAAACAGTAAGCCAAGGGCTCCCAACTCCCTAAGGCTCCTACCCCCCATGAAGCCCCCTTAAGAACCCTATCGATGAAACCCTAAATGGCCCCCAAGTCTCAACCCTGGGGACCGGTTCTTCACATGTGGGAAACTGCACGGGGACTAAGGGGGCGAACTGCTGTTTTCTTCGGGGGCTGAATGAACCCTTGAACGCCTGAGCGTCCCCGACCTCAAAATCAAGGGGGTCAAACTCGCACACCTCAAGAAGTACCCCTACACAACCCCCTTCATATGCATAGGGCCCTCATATTCCCTTAGAGGACCTCAAAGAGGGGTCCCCAAACCCAAGGGTACGACCTTAGGGGTCCAAGGTGGAGTCCATGACAAGGCATGAATTCTGGTAGCTGGGGGTTTAGGGTTTAGGGTTTAGGGTTTAGGGTTTAGGGTTTAGGGTTTAGGGCCCATGGGTTTCATTCGGCCCATTCAAGTGGGGAGCGTAGAGATAGCCCCTAAACCCTAAACCCAAGGTACTACTTCATCATCGACTTCTTCTTCGAAGACGTCTGGAACTTCCTAGATGTTGTGTGCTTGGTAACTTCGCTGAATGAGTACACTTTGAACTTTACACCGTTTTGGGGATACCATAATCCCCTATAAAACTGAAAGTGTACACTTATACCCTAAACCCTAGACCCTAAACCCTAAAACCCTAAAACACTAAACCCTAAACCCTTTTTGTGGGCTTCTGAACTCAGCAACTAAGGTCATCAATGGGCTTGTGATTGATAGCATCTTTCGATACATGCTCATCGACGGCACCTTCAACCTCAGGGAGGGATTCCAGTCGTGGACCGAGCTTCCGTAAGATCTTGGGACATTTTGATATTTTCACATAAACCCTAAACCCTAAACCCTAAACCCTGGGTTTAAGAGGATCATGTTCATAAGTGTTTTTTTTTCAGAGGGTTTTTTTTCTGGCCGTCCTAGGACAACTTCGTCTTCGGCCTCGATGCTAGCCTCAATACCCAAGATGCGTACGAGGCCTTCGGCAAGGCTGCGAGATTGTATCTGGGTGTTCTTAAGAAACGATGTTTTGGTACGAAGTGCTCGTGCACATCGAAGCCCGGAGATTCTAAAGAAGCCCCCTCTCCCAGCCGGACCGGGGAATCCATGCGAGGTATGACACATTCATCACACTCTCCTCCTTGAATGGGCTATGCTTGCTTCTTCGGTTTGCCAAGTACTTCCGCTCTGTGACTTCTCTGCGGCTCGTGCTGACCACTTTGACGGCAGCATTGCAAGAGCTCTTCATGATCTCGGCACTGATCATCATCGTTCTGGTGGCTGTGGTCCTACTCATGCACAACCGCTTCGGTATGGTCTTCCACAGACACTCGGGGTCTGTAATGTGCACTTCCAGTCTAGCTGACCCGTAGAAGCCCCAGTCTAGGCCACGAGAAGCCTCCGAAACCTAGGATATGGCACGCTTGAAAGCTCGAGCCAGTCAGTGTTCTTCTTTCTCATCGGCTCCTTCGACACGGCAGACTTGTACACAAGCAACCCCTTGTTCTTCCTGCTGGTCACCGTCTTTTTTCAAGTCTCTTGGCAGCCCAGTGGTACCCTTTTTTGCCTTCTTGCTGGTTCAAGGTTCCCTTTCCAAGTAACCAACCCAAAGAAGGGTGCACTTACTATGAGATATATATATATCTTAATATATATATATATATATATATATATGGCTACTGTGCCAAGGTCTCCTTCCTGGTGATCTTAAATCTCCTCATCGCGGCCATCATCTACCGATGGAAGGACAGCAGGCGGGATGCCGAGGACTTCTCCGTCCTGAGCTTCTGGACACTTGGTAGCGCCCAGTGGTACCCTTTTCCCCTTTTTTTTGGTTATGTGTTCCCTTATAAAGTAATCACCCCAAAAAAGTGGGTGCCCTTATTGTAATATGGTTGCTGGGCTGCTAAGGACAACTCTTCGGGACAACGCGAACATCTTCAAAAACAACAAGGCGGGTGGCAGAAGCTCGGTAGGCCAGCTGGGACATGTCATGTTATCCCTTGTTGGGGTGAAGAGGATGATATTCAGCCCTCAACTCCAAACCCTAAACCCTAAACCCTAAACCCTAAACCCTAAACCCTAAACCCTAAACCCTAAACCCTAAACCCTAAACCCTAAACCCGCGGAATATTTCTTCAGAGGGGTGCCAGGAGGGGCCAGCCTAGGAAGCGATGACGAACGGCACCTGAAGCAGTTGGGCCCGAGTTTCTGGAGGGAACTGTCGGCCCCTTAGCAGCTGAAGGAGTACACGTTATACGTTTGTTTTGGGATTAGGGTTTAGGGTTTAGGGTTTAGGGTTTAGGGTTTAGGGTTTAGGGTTTAGGGTTTAGGGTTTAGGGTTTAGGGTTTAGGGTTTAGGGTTTAGGGTTTAGGGTTTAGGGTTTAGGGTTTAGGGGCCTATTACTATCCCCTGTAGAACTGAAAGTGCTACACTTGTTGTGGGCTTCTGAACTCAGCAGCCAAGGTTCTCAGGCACATCGACAAGCTGGACGAAAGTGGCGCGAGGCATTTGAGCTAGGTAGGCCCCTTGGGGTTAGGGTTTAGGGTTTTGGGTTAGGGTTTGGGGTTTAGGGTTTAGGGTTTAGGTTTAGGGCTAAGGGCTTAGGGCTTAGGGTCTAGGGTTAGGACAAGTTTAGATTTTTCCTTAATTGGGTTTTAAGAGGATCATGTTCAGGAGTATTTTTCAGAGGGTGTTAAGGGCCGTCCTAGTGAGGACTTTTTTGGTGCCTAAACCCTAAACCCTAAGCAGAGGATCTTTGCCATCACTGCCTTTAAAGTGCAAACCGAGGTGGGAAGATCAACATCAACGCCGACCAAACACAGAGCCCCAAAGCCAAGAAAGAGGAGGAGTTTAGGGTTTAGAGGTTATTGGCCAGGGTTTAGGCTGTAGGGTTTAGGGTTTAGGTTTTAGGGTTTAGGGTTTGGGGTTTGGGCTTTGGGTTTAGGGTTTAGGGTTTAGGGCCACTCGTCCTGTTTGGGTCCTAACAATAGCACAGCACCCCGAAAAGAGGAGGAGACGCGCGACGGAGATGACGACGAGGCTAGGCGTCCGGTCTTGTGGCCGTTTTTCGGGGTTTTTGGCACTAGGAAGAACTTCTTTTCCACCTAAACCTCTGAGGGTCCATAAGGGAGGGTTTCCGGTTTTAGGTTTAGGGTTTAGCGTTTAGGGTGGGTTTTGGCACTGGGAAGAACCTCGTAGGGTGCGTAAGGGAAGGTTCCGGGTGTAGGGATGAGGGTTTAGGGTTAAACTTATAGGGTGCTTAAGGGAGGGGAGTTCATGGGGGGCGGTAGGTACCTCGGGAACGTTTGGGAAACTTAGGGAGCCTTAACGAGTATTCGGGAACCTTGGGTCACATACCCCCCCTTCGAATTCCCCCTCCTCCGTTAAGGACCCTAGAATACCCTAAACCCTAAACCCGAAGCCCTATGGTGCCCAAGAAGGGTCCGGCGTAAGGGTTTGGGGTTAGGGTAGTGTCAGAGCAAGACTGCCCTAAGCCCCAAGCCCTAAGCCCTAAGCCCTAAGCCCGAGAAACCCTAACCCTAAACCCTAAACCCTAAACCCTAAACCCTAAACCCTAAACCCTAAACCCTCTACCCTCTAAACCCTAAACCCTCTAAACCCTAAACCCTAAACCCAACATCCCGAAACCCCCTCTGCGGCAGGCCTCCAACGATGAGGAGGCTGGCATCTTGGACTTTCGCCTCCCTGCGGACCAGAAGAAGCCCCTTGGCTCTGTTGAGTTTAGGGTTTAGGGTTTAGGGTTTGGGGTTTAGGGTTTAGGGTTTCGGGTTTGGGGTTTGGGGCTTAGGGGTTCATGCATTCTTCAAGAACCCTTCCCCCCCCTCACCCCCTGTGCCTGACTGCCATGCTCTGGCCTTGCGTTGAGTTGCAAGCCAAAGCCCACACAGACCCTAAACTCTAAACCCTAAACCCTACACCCTACCCTAAAACCTTAAAACCCTAAGACCCTAAGACTCGAAGACTCGAAGACCCGAAGACCCTAAGACCCTAGAACCTAAACCCTAAAAAACTCTAAGACCCTAGACCCTAAACCCTAACCTTTCTAGTAGATTGGGTGTGAGAGGTGCCTGGACACTTCAAACCCTAAGACCTAAACTCGCAGAATGTCTAGGGTTTAGGCTTTAGGCTTTAGGCTTTAGGGTTTAGGGTTTAGGGTTTAGGGTTTAGGGTTTAGGCTTTAGGGTACAGTCTTAAACCCGAAACCCCAGCCCCCACCGAAATGCAGAAGTCTCCGACCGGACACTGACCCTAAACCCCAACGCTTAATCCTACACATCGCCCGAAAAAACCCTCACTTCACTTTCAGCTTAAAAACCCAAGCCCTGAACCCTAAGCCCGAAGCCCTAAACCCTAAACCCTAAACCCCCCCCAAGCCCAGGTTCATCACGGTATTCAAGAAGGCGCACATGGAGATTGCCTCGCAGATGACGAAGGATGTGGCTGGTACCAATGTTAAGCTTTTTTTGCCGGTGTATCAAGCCCACTCAACAGTAAAGGCCCATGTGCATAGCCAGGTTCCTGGGAAAAACCCTAATTAAACCCAGCCCTAAGCCCGAAACCCTAACCCCCATAAGCCCTAAGCCCTAAACCCTAAACCCTCTAAGCCCTAAGCCCGAAACCCCAAAACCTATAAGCCCTAACCCCGAAACCCTAATCCTATGGGCAACACCAGGTTATTACGCCAGAAGAAGCGGCGGGAGTCGGGTCGCTAGATCCGGCGGGGGAAGATGATGCTTGGATCAAGTGGAATTTAGGGGAGGGGAGGGGGGGGGGGTTAGGGGTTGGGGGTTAGGGGTTAGGGTTTAGGGTTCAGGGTTTAGGACGTTTAGGGTTGAGGACGTTTAGGGTTTAGGACGTTTAGGGTTTCGGGTTTGGGGGTTAGGGTTTAGGGTTTAGGTTTCTGACCCCTTCTTCAGGACCTCCTCGACTTGCAGAAGCGCGTGGAGAAGCGCTGGGAGCAAGAGATGGAGACGGAGGTGCTGGGAATCTTAGTAGCTGAGTGAGTGCACTTTACACTTTTTGGGGAGATTAGAATCCCCTATAGCGCTGAGGAAGAACCTCGTGGGGTCCTTATAAGGGAAGGTTCCGGGTGTAGGGCACAGTGTGGGTGTTTAGGTTCAGGGTCAGGGTTTAGGGTTTAGGGTTTAGGATTTAGGGTTTAGAGCTAAACCCTATGAACTCAGCAACTAAGGAATTGTTGAGGAGCCGCAGGCACCCAGCACCATCGACAACATCACGAACATCCTGACGCATGGCCTTTTGTGAATTAGGTTTAGGGTTTAGGGCTTAGGGTAGTTAGGGTACTTAGGGTACTTCGGGTACTTGGGGTACTTAGGGTACTTAGGGTACTTAGGGTACTTAGCGTACTTAGCGTACTTAGGGTACTTAGGGTTTGGGGTACTTAGGGATGTAGGGTCTAGAGCGTATCCTGACGCAGGGCCTTTGTTAATAGGGCTTCAGGGTACTTAGGGGTTTAGAGTTTAGAGTGTATCCTGACGCATGGCCTTTTTTTAGTGCTGTAGGCAACTTAGGGTTTGTTTTTAGGGTGTATGGTTTCTAAAGCCTAAACCCCAATCCCCAAACCCCCAAACCCCTGAACCCCTAACTCCAAACCCTTAACCCTAATGGTATATATATATATATATATTATGTATATATATATATATGTATATATGTAAGTTGGTATTCTTAGTATGGTAACCGTTAACTACGCTCTTTCAACAACAGCCCAGAGTACAGCTTGCGGCTTAGGGCATCTACAGTCACGAGGTACGTTAGGTGCTGCGCGCTTGAGCATTTTGTAACTACTAAGTGCTTAAGAACCCCGAAAATAAAAATGATATTCCTTATTAAGGTAATATAGAGATCTTTTTTATTCTTTCGGGGTTCTTAAGCAAATAGTAGGCAAGGAGCAGGCTTTAATCGGGGAGGCGGGCTGAAAGTCCGACAGCCAGGGGTGATTTCCTGGGCAAGGTTTGTCGGGCTTGCAGGTTTGAGGCTGCGGGCCCTAAACCCTAAACCCTAAACCCTAGACCCTAAACCCTAAACGTCCTAAATCCTAAACCCCAAACCCTCGAGGAATCGCGAGCTGGAGAAGTCGAGCCATCCCGCTGAGGTCCCCTTGGCAGGGAATGAGTTCGGTTTTGGGTGTTTATGGGTTGAGGTTTAGGGTTTAGGGTTTAGGGTTTAGGGGTTAGGGGTTAGGGGTTAGGGGTTAGGGCTTAGGGCTTAGGGTTTAGGGTTTAGGGTTTAGGGTTTAGGGTTTAGGGTTTAGGGTTTAGGGCTAGTCTGCCATACACCCACAAGCATCTGACAATGAGACGAAAGCTGTGACTGCGTCTTAGCGTAGTGTGAGAGATAAACATAACATGAATTCAACCAACATATATATATATGTAAATAAATAAGTAAACAAATAACTAAAACCCTGAACGGGTGTAGGGTCTAGCGCAAAGGATGGGGGGATAAAGGGTCTCTAATTCCTTCATTCCCTACCAAGAAGCAGTATACTCACATGTTTACACACAAGACCCTTTCAGGGTTTTAGGGCTTATAACCCTAAGCCCTAAACCCTAAACCCTAAACCCTAAACCCTAAACCCTAAACCCTAAACCCTAAACCCTAAACCCTAAACCCTAAACCCTAAACCCTAAACCGCTATAAGCTGGGATCCAGAGTGTGGCCCTCATTCTCTTTGTTTAGGGTCTAGGTTCCCGTAGAAGCCCCTTTCAACCAAAAAGGGCACCCTGTCTCATTCCTGGATACTCTTGGGTCACCCTAAACCCTACGACACCCTAAACCCTAAGCCCTAAGCCCTAAACCCTAAACCCTAAACCCTTTCTGTTCCTAGGTTAAACTTGGGTCT